AAGAAGACAGATCCCCTAGAACTGGAGTTACAGGCAGTTGTGGTCTGCTCATGGTGGGTGCTGGGAACTGAACTTGTGTCCTCTGGAAGAGCAGCAAGCTCTCTAACCCCTGAGCATGTCTCCAGTCTCTCACCCAGTTTTGTTCCTTGTGTATGTGTTCTGTGTGTATGTATTCTGTGTGTATATATGTGTTAGGAGCTTACCCCAAACAAGTTTTTATCTTTTAATTATTACTCTGTGTGTGTGTGTGTGTGTGTGTGTGTGTGTGTGTGTGTGTGTGTGTGTGTGTGTGTGTGTGTAGACCATAAGGTTGATATCAGGTATCTTCTACCATTGCTCTCCACCTTCTTTTTTAGGCAGGGTCTCTCATTAAGCCTGGACCTTGCTGTTTCGGGACTTCCTGTCCTCCCTGCAGTGGGTTACAGCTGTGTGCCAAGGCACCCAGATTTTACATCATCCTTGGGATTTGAACTCAGATCCTCAGGTCTGTGTAGAAAGCATATTCTTATTGAGCCATCCTCCCTGTCAAAATGCAGGTTAAAATAAATTTATAATTGACTTACAACAAACTGCACAAACTTAACGCATATAATGTGACTGGACACTTTCTATACCCACAGGACCCATAACAGCAATCAAAATAAGATTCCCATCACCCTCTCTAACTTTTAAGTGGAGTTTTTATTTTGGAATAACTTTCTCTACAAACACTACAAAGACATAGTAGAGGATGCTCATGTATCTCTTACCTGATCATGGTACAGTATTGATTAATGCTGATGCTTACCATGAATAAAACCACAGGCTTCTTTTGGAATTTCATCAACTTGTTGGGTGCTGAGGCTTGTGCCTGTAATGCTAGCCCTCTTGAAGGCCAAGGTAGAAGACTGAGAAGTTCAAGATGTGTGAATCCCCATGTAATCGGGTGGGGAGAGCTTCACCATGTTCTTGCTGAAACCCTCTCTCTGACCTAGAACCCAGTCCAGAACCGCACATTGCATCTGCTCACATACAGTTTACCATATTACCCTCCACATGGCATTGTGTGATAGAAACTGTCTCTGGTTAGTCCACCGTGTTCTCTTAGATGTGATATGGGATGGAAATCTTTGGATTGGAATCTTTGTCTTGCATGTTTCCTTCAGATAAATTCTTTGAAATGAAGGCAGTAGGTCCTGGCACAGGCTTGCTTAATGAGACTTTTGCATCCACCCCCAAAACACATAGTTCAGTGCAGAGTCCTCAATGAAGAGTTTCTGTAGAGAAGCAAGAAATTTACATGGTCCCAAAATACCTTGCCACGTAGTACTCATTGAACAGCAACAGAAGAGGGCCCATGGAGATGTCAGTACCACAAGTGGAGATATCCGGCAGGCACAACCTTAATTAAGTGATCAAACTGAGGGACAGCAGGAGACAGACTGAGCATCCTCTTGCCTGGCAAAGAGAGATTGGATCAGTCTCTGCTCTTCCTGCTGGAGATGTGGGACAGGAATCTAGTAATGAGGGAATGGTGGCCAACCCATAAGGAGGGGCATGCTGCACAGTATTGCCTTGGAGCCTTCACAAATGTCAAGGTCACAAAAGGCAGAATGAGGTTGAGGAACATTCTAGATGAAAGCAAATTAAAGACACAGGCCCCTGAAGGAAGAGGAATGCATTGTCCTGGATTTGAGCCTGACCCAGAAAAAATGTATAATTTCTGGACTGAGAGATAATGTTGGGAGAGGTGATCTGTATGTGAGATCACCATGCCCAGTGCCTGTTAATTCCCTAGCAGATAAACACAGGGTGATTATACAATGGGGTGACCTTGTCCTAGCAGAAGATACACTAGGCAATTAAGAAAAAAGGGAAATTGGTGGGCATCTTATTCAAATGGCTAATAAAATAAAAAGGTACATTCATAAGTCATAAACCACATACAAGTGTGTCTAATATACATTTACATAACATTACATGCCTGTGTCTTTCAGATAAAGCAAACCCAGTAAACACCTCATGTTGGAGTAGGCAATCAACAGAATCCCTTCAACTCTTCTTATTAGCTGAGAACTACTTTAAAATGAAGACCAAAAGCAATCACACAAAACTGAAGTTTCTGGAGTCTTAAAGCTATGCTTTTCCAAATGAGAGCAAACCCGAGCCTCCAGTGGCCACTCAAGTAGAAAGTCTTCATTGGCTGCCTTGCGAGTTTCCAGGCTGTATTCTCCCACCTGGAACAGAGTTTCTGGGCACTTGGTGCTGAGTGAGGGTGGCTGCAGGAGGGGCCAGAAAATTTAACCCCAGAAGAGCAGGACTGTGTATGGTGGTGTGTCTACAGCCCCAGCATTTGGGAGACCAACGTAACTGGATCACAGTTTCCAGGCAACTTTGGGCTACATAGCAATGCTCACTCTCAAAACAACAGAGAGAAGATGGAGAGTGGGCTCATTGAGTAAAGGACCTGTGGTACAGGGATGAAGACCTGAGTTTACACCCCCAGTATCACTGCTGGGGGCAAGGAGTTGATGGAGACGGGCAGACCCCTGGAGCTCACTGCTCAGGAAGCCTAGGCACCTGTCAGCTCCAGGTTCAGTGAGAGACTCTGCCTCAAACATGCATGCAAACATGTCCACATGTCCACAAGAGCACACACATACACTGCACACTAAGAGAGAGACGGAGGTGCGGCCAGGGAAGGAAGCCCCAGTGTCGGCAGGCTAGGAACAGCTAGGCTTTTGTGCAGACAAAATCTGGCAGTAGCTGTTGAATGATAACAAAAACAAGCACATAACTCTTGACCCAGTCACTCTAGTACTGAGAATTTTCTTTAAAAACAAAGACATCAATCCACAAAAATAAAGCAATTGATGTCATGGAGGAAGAGGGTAGGACATGGGTCATCAGGCCGGGAAGGCAAGGGTGAGGGGGGGACAAAGGAAATGGACACCAAGCCCCAAGGGCAGGGAGAGGAGGTCTCAGTCCCTTGTGTGCCAGGACAGCAGGATGACGATGGTGAACAGACATTTGCTGCCTGTTTTAAATTAAGCTGGGTGCTGAAGGCGAGGGAAAGGTCACTCACCCGATCTGGTCATCACACACATAGTATACATCTATCCGAATAACACTTGGCCCCATAAATATGCATATTTATGTATCAATTAAAACCAGTCCACTAATATCCCCACTTGAATGTGGATTATATTGTGTAATGTAAAAAGTAATGTAAGTAGCCACTAACAGTGGTATGTACCTTATGAGACAAAGATGTGAGTACAATTGTCTATTTGGGAGGAGATCCCAGGGGATACTGCAAGGCAGGATGGGAGTTAGGCTGAGGAATAGGATAAAGCGTCGGGAGGCATGTGAGAGTGAGTCACTTCCCATTTCTGAACTAATCTGTAATGGGATGTGAGGGACTGTGGCATCTCCACCATCCACCACACATCCTGGGAGGCGTTTCTTTAGATGTCAGCCCTTCAGCTCTCCAGATGACACCATGCCAGGGCCTGGGACCATAGTGCCATTTTCAGACAATGGAATCAGGCAGGGAGGGTATAGAAGCCACCAGCTGTGTGCTAGTAAGGGCAGAAATGGAGTGAGTGAAAAAACATCAAATCTAAGCCATGGATACTCTTACCAAGATGAACTTCTACTTGACTGTCTTTGTCTGTAGAAGCAGCTGTGACATGTCAAAGGTGAAGGAAGTTCACGGTGGAGGCATTCAGCATGATCTCATTTTTGTAAAAATAAAGAACAATAATAATCACACTGTGGCAGGCCCCGTTCACTTGAGGCCAGCTTCTCCATTATACCGAGCAAGCACCAGGCCAAGGGCTACAAGGATGGAAACAAACAAACAAACATGAACTTTCAGCTCCAGGAGAATGTTTGAATATATAACAATAATTTTGTTATACCAATTTTATACTAATAGTATTTCAATGAGATCATAAAGTATTTTAAGTTATTTTTTTATGGAGAAAGGGCATAGGAGCTCCAACTACAAGACATGCAGAGAGGCCCAAAATTAGACTAAAAAATGAATCTCTAAATGTGCATTGCATCATTATTTTGTGGGGCCTGAAACTGAAAGAAAAAGGTAGTGACTAGTCATGGAACTGTAGGAGTCAGTGAAGTTGTGCCGTGCGGCTCCCATCTGTCTTAAGCGTCCCAGCTCTGGACAAAGCCAGCAGTCACAGCAAAGACCTTCCAGAGGCTTCTCACCCTGAGTCACGTCCTGACAGCTGCTCAGCAATGCGCCCCAGAGCAAAGGATGGAGGCAGTCAAGTGCTGGGACAAGGTCCACATCTCCGGTCCTTCCCAGCCTGAACCAATTTGGAAAGGGGAGGAGGATGGAAGTAAGGGAGGGAGGAAGCAGGAGGAGGGAGGGAAAGGAAGAGAGGGAGGGGGAAGAAGAAAAGGAAGGAGGAAGGAGAGGGAAAAGGAAGAAGGGAGGAAGGAATGAGGGGAGGGAGGGAGACATGAAGGATGGGAAAGATGCAAGGAAGGAAGGAAGAAAGGAAGGAATAAAGAAGGAAGGAAAGATGGAAGGAAGGAAGGAAAGATAAAAGGAAGGAAGGAAAGATGAAAAAAGATGGAAGAAATGAAGGAAAGATGGAAAGAAGGAAGGAAGGAAGCTCTAAAACCTTTTTAGAGCATCTATTTATTTTCTGAACATCAAAGTTTCTGGGCAGGAAAATATGAAAAACAAAATTCTCCCTCGAGAGCCTCTGTCCTTGTGCCCACTGCTGCATCTGATGAACGATCTCTTACTCTTCCATTACACTGGGAGTCTGGAGTCCACCCATGGCTGCCTGGTGCCTCCCAATATCTTAGCTTTGTGTTTGTTGTGGAGACCTGGCAGAAACAAGGGAAGAAAGGGTATTTTGGCTCATGGTTCTAGGGTGGGAGGTGGGTGAGGTGAGGGCAGTCCATCATAACAGAGAAGGAAGTCATGGTGGAGGGCCATGGTGGTGGGAACATGTGGTAGACAGAGGCTCACTTACAGAGTGGTAGACCAGGAGGCAGGGAGCAAGGAAGGAACTGGAGTGGGCTATAATTGTCAAAGGCCCACCCCACTTCTGCCAGGTAGGCCCCACTTCCTAAAGACCCCTTAGATATCACTGCCACTGAGAAACAAGCACCCAAAACACGAGCTTGTGGGGACATTTCTGATTCAAACCATAAGACTTAGTGAGCTTGCTAAAAATACAGAATTTAGGGCTGGAGAGGTGTCTTCGTCAGCAGAGTGTTTGCCTTGCGAGTATGGGACCTGAGCTTGATCCTCAGAACTCGTATAAAGAAGAAGAAGGAGAAGGACAAAGAGAGTGGGGCGGGGGGGAGAGACACAGCGGCACACACTTGTAATCCTACTGCCGAGGAGATGGAGACAGGTGGGGTACTGCGGCTTGCTGGCCAGCCAGCCTGGCTTAGTTGGTAAGTACTAGGCCAGTGAGAGACTCTGCCTCAACAAACAAGGTGGGGGCTGGGAAGATGGCTCAGTGGGGAGAGTGCTTCCCTTGAAAGTATAAGGACCTGAGTTCGAATCCCCAGCACTCCTGTAAATGCTGGGCATGGCTATTTGTGCCTGTAACCTGGCACTGGAGCAGGGAGAGGGTGCACAAACAGGGGTGTGTCACCAGCACTCATTGACCACCACCAAGTCTAGCCCCAAATCCACAAGTTCCAGGTTTGGTGAGAGACCTTGTCTCAAGGGAATAAGATGGGGAATGACAGAAGGTACCTGGCATCCTCCTCTAGACTCTACATGGGCATGTGTACTGGACAGGTATGCATATGACCCCCCACACACTACACACACCACACACACACTAAATAAATAAATAAATAAATAAATAAATAAATAAAGCAAGGTAGATGGATCCTTAGGAAGCACTTAATTTGACTTCTGGTCTCCACACACTTATGCATGCATGTGCACACATTGGCATACACATGCACACATATGCACCAACACATAAGCACCCATACAAAGCAAAACAACACCACCAACAACAACAAAAACCACCCCACAGAAATACAGTTCTGCCTGTGCATCTCACATTTATAACTTAATCTAATGTAAAAATTTCTCTTCATTTTTGGGCACTTGCTTCAATCACTTATATGAGCATGCATTATTCATATTATCCACATGATTTTTTTTTTCTAAAAACGCTTTTGGCAGCCAGCCTCCTAACTCTGACTTATAACTCATAGGTGGGCATCTGCCAGGAGGAGGGCATACTGCAAGAGCTGAAGGAATGTTCAGACTCTCAAAGACACAGTTGGATATCCCACACCCGGAAATTGAGCAAGAGGGGACCTGTCCTAGTAATCTACATAATTTTGAATGGTAAGTTGGTGACATTTATTGAAATTAAAATTAAACTTACAATTTGACCCAGCAATTCTACAGCCAGGATCTGGTTTTCCGTGCAATTCCCTGCACCTGAAGCCAAGCCAGATGATCTGAAGTACCCATGGAGGCACAGTGTATAAGGATAAGTGGGTGGGCCATCATCCATCCACGAGATAACAAAGCACTGTCACACAGTCCTAGGATACCACAGGATGCATATAACAGCTCTCCACCAAGTGACACTGAGGGTCCCAACATGTCTTATTAACTGGAGAAAAAAAGAAGTGTGTGCCTGTGTTTTTAAAATAGATTCCTAGACTTGGGTATGCATAAAATATTTCTGGAAGGCTAACAAGAGACTGGAAATGGTGATGGCTTTCAGGGAGGTGGCCTTGGAGAGGTGTGATGCGAAAGGAGGTTTGAGGCTGTATCTGCATCTATATCTGTCTATATCTTCTGCTGCTGTATGAGAGTTTTTCCATGAGGATGAGTCATCTGCTTTAATTAAAACAAAAGCAGCAGCAAGTGAAGAGATGCCCCTGGAGCCTCAGGTAGAGCGGGAGCAGAGACTGGAGCAGGTGCAGGTGAAGTCTGCCCCACGTGGTACCTGTGGGTGATTGTGATGGGGCTTGGCACCTCCACCTGATTAAACTGGGTGAGCAGGAGGCATCAGCATGTCTGTGGGAGGTTCCTGTCACCAGTCCTTGCTGCAAAGGAGGGCTTGCATGCTGAACAGGTGGCATGTCGAGCTCCTATCCCATCCCTGGTTTCCGATCAGTTCCAGCTCTAGGGGCTTCCACAGAACAGATGTAGGGCAGGCAGGAGACTCAGCCTGCTGCTCCCCAGCTGCCCGAATGCCCTGCCAAGAGCTTCAGCTTTGCCAATGCCTTCTAGATTCGCAGAGCAGCTACTGAGCCCCCAAGCCTCCATGTGGCCAGTCAGACGTGCTAGCTGCTGTGGAAGCTCACAGGGCAGAGACCGCAGACTGCAAGCCTGCTGCTACCACAAGCTGTGTGGCTTTGAGGGACAAACAGACTCCTGGAAGCCTGCTTTCCTCACCAGTTGGAGGAAATGGATGGAGTTGATGGTAGTATCTAGGCTGAGCAAACAGCTCAGTGGATGAATTGATTGCTGTGTGATCACACCAATCGGAATCACCAGAAGCCATGTAAAGCCACACACAACAATGCACATCTGCAGTTTTGGTGTCCCTAAAGTGAAGTGGTAAGTGGAGATAAGAAAATCCCTGGGAGCTCATGGGCCAGCCCTTCTGGGACAGGCTCAGCTAGCAACAAAAAGACACTGCCTCCCACAAGATGGAAGGTGAGGAACCATGCCTGAAGCTGCCTCTGACCTCCACAAGCATGCTGTAGCATGTGTGCGTCTGCATTCACACATACCACACACACGCACATAAAAAATGTAACATCTGTCTCTAGGAGTCTGAGGTATTAAGGTCATCCATAGTAGGAACTCATCAAGTATCTACTATGTATTTCTCTGGCACCCCCTAGTATGTGCATTAGGAATTTAAAAATTAAAAAATATATAGTGAAGTGGTCTTTACTCTTAAGTAATTTATAGTCTACCAAAAGAGGGGTAATACATAATACTTAAGTGTTTTTTCTCTGCTTCCAGAGTTCTATCTTATTTAACTTATATTATAACCCCATGTAGCAGTTATTACTGTTCCTGTTTTATAGATGAGGAAATGGAAGTTCCAGGAGGATGGGGGCTGTGCACAGGGCTATGGAGGAGGCTCAAGACTGATAAGGAAGAGAGTCACCGGGGTTCTCCTGAAACACTAATGGACAATGGACGCTTTCATTGCAACCTGACACAGTTTTAAGATGGAGGAAATTTGCCTTATGATGCAGGGCACCATGTGATCGAATGTGAGCACCGTGCCCACCACGTGATCCTCCCAGGACACAGGAAGTAGAACCAGGGGTCTTATGGTCCAGTGTTTCATCTTGGCTTGCCTCTGTCTCATTCTTCTCCTCCTTGAATTTGCCTTCAGAGCAGTGGGCAGTGGCTGTCCTCAGTCCCAGATAAATGCTGTCTCCATGAGAAGACCAGCCCAGTTAGAAACAGGACGGCCCAAAGGAGAATCTTATTGGTCCCATTTGGGCCCTGTATCTAGTTGTGGGCCAATCAGCGTTGGCCAATGATCTAGGGTCTTGGGGCTTGTTTGTTCCTATAGGTAGGGCAGGTCATAAGGGACTGAGTGGCCATGTCCTCCCTGGGGACTCAACAAGAAATGAGAATTTCAAGAAAGAGTGAAGTGGTGTCCAGAGAAGAATTTCCTGAGGAAGATAAAGCTTTTTCTTTTCCTAACCCTTGTCCTTTCTGCATTCAATTTGTAATTGCCAACATACTTGTGTGGTACGGAATGTTTTTAGAAAGATCAACAAATGTTACCTTGAAAACCAATAAAAAACAGAAAAATAAAAATCAACCTTGGGCTGTTCCAATGCCTTTTCATATGAGAGTATAGTAAGCCAGCCTTAGCCTGGAGAAGGGAGCTGGGACTAGAATGCGTGGGTGTTCAGGGCTTTCATAAAGAACATATTTTATTCGGTGTATATGTTTATATGGGGGAGGGCATACACATGCTATGTTGCCCATATGGAGGTCAGAGGACACCTTTCAGGAGTCAGCTCTCTCCTTCTCATCATGTGGGTCCCAGGGATTAAACTCACGTCCCCAAGCTTGGTTTCAGGTGGCTTTTCCCACTCTGAGCCACTTCACTAGCCCCTAGTATTTCTTAATATGTCTAAGTCCTATATTCAAGTGCCTGTAAATGTGGCCTTACAGGGAAATAAAATCTTTGTAGAGGAGATTAAATAAAGTGAAATGGGGGAAAATGAGGCAAATTATATCCGCTAAGTGTTCCTGTTAGACAGGACTCCATGTCCTTAGCCAAGGTTCCTCATTCTCATCCATCTTGACATTTTGAGCTGGATCATTCCATGTCTTGGAGGTCTGTCCTGTGCATAGTGGGATGGGTAGCCATATCCCTGGCCTCTATCCACTGGAGTATAGTATCCTTACCCCAGTTGTGACAAATGTATGGGATTACTAAGTGTGCATGGTGGTTGAGGGGAAATTCAGGGTGTTTGGATGGAATTATCTTGGATCTCCCATGTGGGTTCTAAACCCAATGACTGGTAGCCAGTGAGCTAGGGGAGCTCTGAGATGCACAGATGCTGGAGAGACCGTGCTGTCAACATGCAGGTAGAGACAGAGGTAAGAGGTGGCGTGCTCAGAGGGCAAAGACCACCAAGATCATGAGTGCCAGCAGAAGCTGTGAGGGAGGCACAAAACAGATTATCCTCAGAGCCTCCAGGGGCCCAGCCTGACCTCATGCTCATAGCTATCTTAGTCACCAGTGTGTGTAATTTATCATGGCAGCTGTAGGGTGGCACTACACTTGTGTAGGATATTTTCCAAAAGATCCTTTCAGGGGATTGCCAACCCAAATGAGACGCTTCACTGGGGCAGGTTCCTGTCACTGGGACAGCAGCCCCACAGGTCTTACGTCCCACTGCCTCCTGCCCTGCCTTACCCACACCAGTTGTTCTGAAGTAGGCACAGGGCCCAGGCAAGCTAGAGACTTCCAGTCAGGCTTTCCCACCCAGAGCTAGGAGTTGTTCTTCCACTTTCAGGAACAGGAAGTGTGAGATACAAACCCAAGCACGGTCAGGAGCTCCATCTCCAAGTACAGCCACACTGAGGGGAAGGTTTTCAACATGTGAAGTGAGTAGGTGTGGCTGTGATGAAGGCCTTCGACCTTGTGTTTGTGACTGTTCTTGCTGCTGTGACCACATACCAGACACACAGCAACAAGAAAGGAAGGATTTTTTGCCTTATGCTTTGAAGGGATATGGTCCACCATGATGAAAAAGGCATGGGGGCAGGGGCTTGAAGCAGTTGGCCTCACTGAATCCACAGTCAGGAAACAGAGCTAACAGTAAGTGGAGCTAACAGTAAGGCTATTAAAGGTCAAGGTTCAACCCTGTCCTGCTGGGACACACTTCCTTCAGGGAGGCTGTACCTCTTAAAGGCTCAACAGCCTTCCAAAACCAGCTGGGGACGCAGAGTTCAAACCACGGCTACTGGGGACAGTTCACATTCACACACAACACATCAGTGGCTCACATTACAGTTCTACAAAAGTGTCAGGAAAGGCTCCAGACTCCTCCTGTCTGTGGTTCTGCCCAGCTCTTCCTTTAGCCCATCAGAGCCTGCTCTGCTCATCTAGTGGAGGGGAAAGAGACTGAAGCATTGTGGGGGAAGTGTTTGCGAGGCAAATCTGGTAGCCCTAGCCCTGTACCCTTTCTGTTGAGACTTATCACAGGGCTGAAGTGGACTGTGGAAGATGAGAAAGTGTCCAAGCACTCAAAATAAGAGGAGATGGATTTGGTGACTGCTGGCTGGTTGGGGCTGCCTCGCTGGACAGGCTTTGTGATGAGACAGACTAGGGATGCTTGTGTCTAAGAGGGTTAGACAGGATTCATCATTGCGACATCCTTGGGTTTTTAATAAAGTCTTGGTATTGTAAGTGGCTGAGACGGCAGAGTTTCTCACTCCATCAAACTTCACTTTCTTCTGAGAGCTTCTTCTGGCAAGGACGACAGTGCAGAGAACTGGGTCAGAGCGGGTAAGAGAGTGGAGGGGAAGTAAAGAGCAGCTATGGAAGCGTGGATTCCATGGGGTAAGCTCAGGCTGTGCATTGGGAGAGATGGCCTCACTGTAGAGCAGCTGTGCCCTGCCCACTCTGGTCTCTCAGTGAGCTCGTGCAGAGAGTGATGCTGCTCATGGCAACAGAAGGTCAGGTCAGTGCACTGCAGGTGGAGGCCTGGGAACAATTTCAAAACAAATTACATAACATCATCTGCTGTGGTCCGTCCAGAGGCTGAGTCTCTCCTGGCACCACTGGCACCCCTTGGGTGGAGGAGGGATGTGGTGGCATTGCTGAACAGAGTCCTTGGTCCCCAGTGGTGCCATCTGTCTGGTCTCATGTACTGCAGATTGGAAATGTTTACTTCAATGCAGAAAAGCTCTTTTCGGACTGTGGGACCTTCAGAGTTTGGTCTAGTCAACTGATTCTGCAAGCTGAGCTAAGACTGCAGCTGGAGTTGGGGCAGACAGGTGGCCCAGATGACTCACCAGGACACAGGCTCTGGATATACCCAGAAGTCTGCTCACAGCTGGCGTGGCCTTGGTTTCCTCACCGTATTGATTGCTTTTCTCATTGCTGTGACCATGTACTGGACAGCAGCACTTTGGGGAAGAAGGGTTTAGCCTGGCTCGCAGTTTCAGGGGCCCATAGTCCACCATTGCAGAGAAAGTGTGGCAGTGAGCGGGTCAGCACACAGCCTGGGAGCTTGCAGCATGATTTACTTATGTCTACCTGGTGGGCCAGGAAGCAGAGTGCTCAAACTGGAAGCAGTTCTGGGCCTCTAGTGACCTATATCCACCAGTCAGACCCACCCTCAAAGGCTCCACAGCTCCCCAAACAGCACTACCAGATGAAGATCACATGTTCAAACATGAACCTGTGGAGGGCCTTTCCAGTTCAGATCTAGTACTCAACTTAACACGGATAGACCCCACCACAAGCACACACACAGATGGGGATAACAGCCACGCTGATGTTGAACATTTCCTATGTTCAGCAAAGGTACTCCATTGACATGGGTCACCAATTCTCAGGCCAGTTCCTCTCATCTGGGGTGAATCAATCCTCTACCCTGACCCTGAGTGACCACAGACATGTTTGGGTGGCCCAAATGATAGCGCCACTGGACTCCACAATGCATAGGTCAGACCTCATAACATGGAGTGAGCAGCTCAGAGTGTCGAGAAGGCTGAGGCTGAGGAGCCCAGATGTCCAGGAACACGTATGGGATTTAATTTTCCTCACCTTCCCCCATGTCACCAGAAAAGTTATCTAGTTGAGGAAGTACCAAGAACACATGAACATCACCCCTTCTGTTCCACAAGGACTCTGCTAAAATGTGTTTGAGGGTTTCCCAATTGATGCCAACCATGACAGCATGCAACTCCCCCACCCCACCCCCGCTTCCCACCCTCCCCTTGCTCCTCCTTTTTCTTCTGTACTTGGGAATGTTAGGCACTACTCTACCACCGAGAGAACTCCTCAGCCCCTGCCCACTTTTGTGAAGGCAGTACAGACTGCATCTTAGGGTAGGGCCACCATCTTAGACCACCTGCTGTACTCAGTTCCAGGAAGGACCTCAGGAATGTTCCATGACAACTCAAACAGACACAGGGCAGTGTGCTCCTGCAGACATCCTGTCTGTGGTTTATGACCCTTGAAGATATCTAGATAATCCTGCTGAGCAGCCCAGATAATCCTGTTCAGCGGGTTGTGGTTCCCCACTAAAACCTCTAACCCAGTGGTTTCAAATGTGGTTTCGAACCCAAAGTCTAGACCAATAGTTTCAAAAAATTGCTTTGCCCCATATTCCTTCTACCCAATCCCAAATTGCCAAAGCATGTAATTCCTGGCTTGCAGTTTTTCCCTATAAAAACCCTCTACCCCTGGGCCCGCTGCCACCACTGCATTCTCCTCCATCTGCCTGGGGGTGGCCCAGGTTGAGCCTGACAATAAAAGGACCCTTTTGTGCTTGCATTGGAAAATGGCTCCTTGGTGGTCTCCAGGGGTTTCGAGAAATGGGTACAACACTTTGTTTTTTTAAACATTTTTTTCTTTGTATTTATTCCTCTTTCATATATTACATCTTGACCACAGTTTCCCCTCCCTCCACTCCTTCCAGCACCCCCCCCCCCCCCGCCCCAACACACACACACCTGCCCTCTCCTCCAGATCGACTGCTTCTCCATTTCCCTTCAGAAAAGAGCAGGCCTCCCAGGGTTATCAACCAAACACTGCAAAACTACTTTTGACTCAGGGGTTTCCTAAGTTGTTCAGGCTAGCCTTGAACTTAAGATCCTCCTGCCTCAGCCTTCTGAGGAACAGGGACTATAGACCTGCCCTGCATGGCCCATCTGTATACTTCTGAATCAATCAACAGGGCTGCTGATGCTAAGAATAGTCATGGTAGGAAAGCTGGGGTGGAGCAATAGGAACAATCATTCTGTGTCCCTGCCTCCAGGAGCCCAGGCCCCATCTGGTGTCCAGGACCTCATTCTACACTCTAATATAACAGTCAATGCCGACAGCAGCAATGCCTGTCACTGCCCCTTGCATGTGACTGTTGTCCTTACTGATGGGACATATGTTAAAGGCTTGCTCCCCAGAGCGGTACTCTTGGAAGATGGCAGGGCCATAGGTGATGGGACCTAGTGGAAGTTCTTCCAGACATTAAAAAAATGTGCCCTTTAAAGAGATATCAAGACCATGGTGTCTTCTCTTCTCCTATTTCTTCACTGTCTCCAGGTGAAGGGCTTTACTCTACCACAGGCTCC